TTTGTTATATATATATATATATATATATAAAATCTCAATATTAATTTCATTCAAATTTCGTGTACACATACAAATGTGACAATACTTTTCTCTTGTTTCCTTTGATTCGACAAGTTTGAGCTAATCTTTTAAATTGCATGATTAATTAATAGAGACATGCTAGTATCCGAGTCGGTTCTTCGCGAATTGTATCCACGGGATTTAGGATTGGAGAGTCCGAATCCTGCCAATCAGTATCAGCTGTCGCGGCATAATTTGGGATCATTTTCGTCTTTGGGACTAGGCATTCCTTACAGATGGGCACAAAGAATGGCTGGTCTACACTTTGTCTCATGTGACACGACCGAACAACAACAAAAGGTACACATCCTTGTAAAAAATGTTTACATGTATGTCCTATGACATAAACGTTAAAAATAGTTGCTCTGTTTGTAAGACAAAAAATTAATAACGGTTCAAACATATAAATCTCTTCCACGGTAGATGCGCAATTAAAGTAACATATTCTAATTAAAATTCAATTTTATGTCATTTTTATTTGTAGCTGACGAGTCAAGAATTGGCACAAGACTGTGTGGAGAGTGTGTTGAAAGAAATTAAACGGCGCATAAAAGCGAGACTGGATCTATGTATGGAAATACGACAACTAGAGTCCGGCAATCTACCAATATTTATCAGTACGACAGATCCCGTGCCACAAAAAATCTCAACGTCTTTGCATCGATTCACGACTATGACCTGGAAAAATTACTCAAATTATGTTGCTTCACCGGAATTTTACCAACGGGGATTAGTGTTATCTGTAGACATCTTTTATGAAGCTATACTTCGTCGTGGCAGTAGTATGATTATTATTATTATTATTATTATTATTATTATTATTATTATTATTATTATTATTATTATTATTATTATAACATCAAATTACCTACACTGTTAAATGATTGCTTCCACACATTTAAATTTGATTCATTTTTTAGGCGAACTTGTGGCCAGGATTGCTATCAAGTCAGATTACCCCAAGATAGCACCAGTATTTAGCATAAGCATAAGTCCAACAGTCCCAGCGTCCGCCGATATCATTAGAGATATCGAAAGGGAAGTCAATGTGATGTGGACCAAGTCCCCAACATTAACGGCGCAAATACAACGATTGAGATCATGTTTCGACATCTATTTGGAAACTGAGAGCATGGCGCCAAAGGAAAAGATATTCTTCTATCCTGTAAGAGGGCGGACTCGCGCTCGGCCATACAAATATTTATCGTTGGGCGGAGGTATATTCACTCATCGTTAAATAAATTGTATAAATATCAATCGATGCGTGTATATTTTTTTTTCAATTTCCTTTATTAATCTATTAGTATTAATAAAAGATGTGAGATTGTTTTTTAAAATTAGATTTTTAACTTTCCCAAATATTACATTTAGTTTTCATCTTGAAAGATTTCAACAAAAGCTTTTAATCTGATATATTTTAAAGTACTTTTTTTTAAATTTTATTTTAAAAATATTTGTGGGCACATTTGAAGTAAGTATATTTATACAGAAATATACGTAAGTGATCGTGCAACCGGAGCTTTAGAAATGGTTAAGAGATATGTGCGCAGAGTGTTTTTCAATTGTTTGTTTTCGAAAGACAGTTTATCACACTCTTTTTTCATAAAGATATTATCGGATTTAATGTAATTGAATTGTTCCCAAAATTTGTCCAATTTATCAAACGGTTCTGACATCTGTAAGTACTCGTTATTTAAAAACTGAAGATACAAGCTTTTTTGTGTTATTATTGTATTCGTACAATACTTACACAGCTCGTAAAAACCCTTCTGGAGCCCATATCGCGTAAAGTATACTTTTGAACAGTCAGCGAGAAAGGTTCCAAATTTGAGCACATTCTCAGCAATGAGAGTACTGTCGAGCCTTTTTCTGAAATCCTCTGCAATTCCTGCAAAAAAATCAAAGAATTTCTAAAATATCTACTTTTCCGGATAGTCAGTCCAAATTATAATAAACATTTAAGTATTTCAATTTTTTAGTTGGATAGTTAATTTGAATAAAAGTTTTATAATTTAATATTATAAAATAATATAATCTTATAATTTAATATTATAAAATAATATAATCTTATAATTTAATATTATATTTACTTTTCGAACGCTAGCACTGATAATAGTCAATTTCTTCAGTTGGGCAGTGTCCATTACTTGATTCATGGAAAATATCTGTCTCAAATTTTTGGTTTTCTTCCTCATATGTATAATCTGATCGTTCAGTTTCATTATACTTTGCTCCCGCTTTTGTGATAATGCGTGCGTGTCCTGTTTCAGACTCTTAATTACTCTCTGTAATTGTGTCTGCAGCTTTGGATATTGTGCTACGTCTATACGATGGGCATTATCCTGCTCTTTCAAGTATTCGTACTGTTTTCTCTTATCTTCCGTATTTTTCTCATATTCAGTTATCATTTCGTTAAGTTGTCGCCACAATTTCTCGACCTCATTGGAAACGTAATGCATCAAGCACGATAAGGAATCTTCTTTCTGAAATATTTTCGATCAAGAGAATTATTAACATTTGTCATATGAATCACAAAAATGGAAGGAAAATATACATACCAAGTACGCGATGCTATATATATTAACGGCATTTTGGATTTTTGTTTGCATCAATATATTTTCTATTCTCTTATCTTGTCCAAAATTTATATTTTGCAATTGACTGCAATACTGCTCTAAATTGTTTCGTATCCTATTTAATTCGTTCGTTTCGTTCGAAGCTACACGATTATATTCGCGTGCGAAAGATTCGTGCAGATCAATACACTTTTGTTTGCATCTTCCTATATAATTATTAATAATAATATTAATAATAAATTATTAATAATAATTGTAAACGATAATATAAATTTACAATAATATAAGCTACCAATTATCAAGTCCATCATTTTAATGTGAGCCTCTTGCAGCCTTCGGTGATTAACATCGGCTGCTTCTAGCTCACTATGTAAACGCTGTATCATGAGATTTTTCATCTTCATCAGACGATCGAAATTATTCCAAAGATATTCCACATTTTTGTGAAGTTCTTTACATTTTATTCGGCGCAGAATAAATCGCCATTGTTCATTGATTTTGGCAGTGTTTAATCGCGCGAACGCCTCTTCACGTTTCAGTTTATTCTACATTTCAAAATTGATTTAAAAATTCCTATTAAATTATATTACCATTTTGTATTGAATGTACCTTAGTAAAAGCTGCAATCAATTGTTGTTTACGTCGTTTAGCCTCTAGCTCCAATTCGGCTCGGTGCTGTAAGTAACGAACACGTTCTTCGTCACTCATGCGAGCCAACTTGTTTCCCTTTCCCTTCTTTTTTTTCGGCATTTTTCAGTGAATTAAAGATTTTATATCGTTGTCAGTTATTCAAATTATTTATTCTCAACGAAATACAAATTTTTTTCATTAGGAATATACGATGGTCTCAACATAGCACAATTGTTAAGATCGACCACATATGGAATGTTTGATCAATAGATTCAACTTAAGTTTAAGACTCTCTCTCTCTCTCTCTCTCTCTCTCTCTCTCTCTCTCTCTCTCTGTGAAATATAAAAATTGCATCTGATTCCAATTAAATAAAATCTGACTCAAGTAAAATATTACGGAATTTTTTATAATTTATAAGTTTTATAAAATTTATAAAAATATTTTGGCATCTCTGTTAGACATATTTTACAATTCTACACACACACACACACACACACACACACACACACACACACACACACACACACACACACACACACACACTAACACTAACACTAACACTAACACGTACATATATATATATATATATATATTTCAACATAATTAAGTATAAATTTGTATTAAATATTTTCCTATGATAATACACTCGAAAAAAAGAATATATATTTTGTACGATATTTATATACGGATGTGGACATTGTATCTTGTCTTCTATAAGATAAAAATTACATTATCTTCAAATATAAAGAACGGGAATTTGCGTATATAAAATCTGTTTATACAATACTAAAACTAAATACTTTTTGGCTAAGATTGCGAATAAAGCAAGACATCAAGAATAAGGTACTATCGAATTCGCATGGAATTTTCTTACATTCTTTATGAAAATATAATATAGTTGTTCTGCAACAGTATAATAGATTCTATAGGTTTTTTGTGTCACTCTATTTGGTGGAAGACTTAAATGCAATTCGGGCGATAAGAGTATCGATCTTTTAGCTATCTATGTCATATATTCTTCTGTATTGTCATAGACCTGCTGTCAATTTTCTCTATGGACAACGGTCGTTCTTTTGTTGTCGGTATAAAGCTTTGAGTACGTCGAATCCTCTCACTTCCTCTCAAGGGACGTGTGACGATTTGTGCTTCCAATAAAAATTGAGCTTCTTCCGCACGTTTCACCTTTTCGCGTGCAGCTCGCAACTCCGTATCCAAATGCTCCCTTTCCGCTTCCAGGTGCTGAAGTCGTAGTTCAGCATCTAAAAATTAATATAAAAGAATAATGCAAAAGTGGAAATTTTCAAAGATAGAAATTGAAGAATAAAAATAATAACATTAAGAATATAAAATGAAAACTATAAAAGGAAAGAAATATACATGTGTACGTTGTGTAGCTTTTGGAAAGAATTATATTAATATAACTAATAAGATTTAAGTCAGATGTTTTATTTTTCATATTATTTAAATGTTATGTACTTTGTAACTGCTGCTCGTTTTGCTTCTGCATCTGTTCAAATTCCATTCTTTTCATCTTCTCCATCTCTAGCAATTCTTGCTGCTCCTGCTGCAGTCTCTCTAATTGCTCTCTTTTCTCCCATTCTTCGCGTAATACTCTCGCTTGTAAACTTCGTACTGCAATATACATAAGGCGTATCTATCTAAATTATACAATCCTAGAACTAATATGATAAAAATTAGATTATTATAACAGCTTTTTACCTATTTCCTCATCGCGTAGAGCCTGTTTTTCTTCTTGTAGCAGCAATTCTAATTTTTGTTTAACATCTTCTAGTTGTTGAACTTTAGCACCTTCCTCCTTCGATAGAGTTTCCAATTTCCGAGCTTGTATTTCGGCGGCGATTCTAGCTTGCCTCTCGTGCTGAAGTTCCAACTTGGTCTCTTCTTTTTCCTGTTTAATAGCCTAGCAAGTAATAATATAAGTTGTTGAATAAATGTTAACTAAAACGTTGTTAACTAAAAAAATTTTATTAAAACATCTTTTACGTATTTTTTTTTTTTTTCAATAATTTGCATTTACTTGTCGCAAGGATCTTCGTTGATTAGCTAAACTTCTCTGATAACCGATCTTCTCGCTCGAATGCTGAATGGCTGTTTGTAATGCCGCGAGCCATTGGAGCCTGCCTTTGTGATCCTCTGCCATTAGCTCTATGCATCTATGTTCGGGAGTGCTAAGCACGAATCTTCTATCGGGTTTTCCACCATTTGTCACAGTATCGGCCCAACAATTAGCGTTCAGCAGTATTAATCCGGACGGTTCTTTTTGTTGGGGATCTTTGTAATATGTCAATTCACCGGGACGCAGGATAAACCAAAAATATCGTAATGTTGGCAGCAAGAAACCTTTCTTCATTAAATAGCCCTGCAACGATATTTGTAAAAAAAAAAATTATTTCATTGTAATGCACGCGATCTGTGTTTCCTCTCAAGTCCATATTAGATTACCGATTTTGCAGGTCGATTCGACTGTCAACTCCATAGTGAACCATCACAATCAGTCAGTCATTGTGATTCGTTCATTATTCAGGCTCGGTAACCTGATACGGGCTTTACAACTATATGTGTATGTAAACATAAGATTGTAACATGGAGTGTTCAGATGAAGCATATTTACGGATGAAGCGACGATGATATATAATATCATTTTATCCTTCTTTTTATTATTTAATGAACAATATAGATAAATGCTACATCATGCGCTTCTTGCATAATTCTTGTCAGAACGTACTCGTGCATTATTATAGCATGAATTTAGAGGAAGACCCGTCAATTTGAGAATAAAATTTTCTTCAATTTATTAAAATGGAGCAAAACATACACATCGATTTACCTTTTTCACCACATTTTCTATGTAAATCTGGTAGAGATCGTCAATCGCCTCTGATAACGCCATAACGTCCAAAGTATTACCACCACTATATTTGGATTCCAAAACTGCCAGAAATGTGGGAAACCTTCCCGATAAATTTTTCATCAACAAATTGCATTTTTTTATATCTTTATTTTTGCGATTAATATGATAAAGCTGGAAATGACAAATTACCTAAATGTTCCAATAGCCACTGATAAAGCTGAGAAATCTGCCGCATCCCATTGTAGACCCAATGATATTACTAGATGGGAAGCGATTCGCGCTACCTCGTCGCCATGCATTATCACCTGCATCACCAAAAGCGACACATTGATTATCAAAAATTGCTGAAGACATTGGTTTATATAATTTATTATAAGCAATCGCTAACCAGATAAGAATCTGTTGCATCTGAATCCGTCTCGGCCAGCAGACAGTAAATTCTGAACAATTGGTAAACACTATGATCATTAAAAACTGAATGGGATCTCTCCAGATAGATCTTTTTACAAACCAGCCAGCAAATTTCATCTACCCCTTCTTCCATTGTCTTCAATGTTTGTATCGAGGTAGCGTCAGTTACAGAAGAGAACACCTGAAATTTTTGAGACTGCACAGACTGCATCAAGCTAGATGAGCAAAAACGAAGCAAATGTTTTTGAATGAGTGAGGGTAACAAAAAAAAAGGTACTTGAAATAAATATCTTGAGAAACTTTGATTCAAAGATATCTGCATTTTGAAAATAAGAGGATAAAGCAAAATTTCTCTTGCACATCTTTTAAAAATTAGTTTTTGTGTATCTGAATATCCTGCTTTAATTTTCACATATCCTACAAGTTTGCCTCGGTCAAGTATTTGCTACAACTTATTAATAATAAAAGTATGAGCCAAAACGTTTCGAAATACACATTCACATATATTTTATGTATACATCTTTATATAAAATTCTACCATTTCTTTAAATAATTAAGAATATTAACATTTATCTCATATTCATATTGTTTCAGTTTATAATACATGCATTTTAAAAGAGATCTTACTTCTTTCTGTAAATAATAGATGTATTGATCGAACGTTAAACTTTGCGTACTCCGGTAATGCTCCAGGCCTTTTTCTACGCCATACAAATCCATCAAGGTACCAATGTTGGCTGTCAATACCTATCAAAATCAAACATCGAAATGAATAAGATTAATATCAATAAGAATTTATATCAAAGAAAAAAGAAAACAAAAAAGAGATAGTAGAAGATAGAATAGAGGACGATCTTATTTAGCTATCCAAATGGATTTTATGACATTTTATTATTCAAAGTTTCACCTTTAACTTGGATTTGGCGACCGTGTTGGTGGCATCGGCCTGTAGAGCGTGAAATGCATGCCAGATACTATTGGTGAGGTTTTTGAGTAGATGAGCCATTGCAATCGTCCAACTAAAGGCCGACAGCAACAGGTGTCTGCTTCCGTTTTTCCACCTGATGAGTATCCCTCCGTATTTCTGTGGTTTATCGTGATCTATCGTGGTCTATCCCGTCTGTTTATTGCTCCTCGCCGACATTCGAAAGCGCATATTTATCTCTTATCTAAATAGCCGTGGATGACGTATCTTTTTTTTCTTCTCCGTCTCGCTTTACGTTCTTCCAAAGATATCACTCCTTCTCAAGTCCTGTCATCAGCTGTCACTTGGCAAGTCGGCACTGTTGGCAGCACTCGCAATCACTCGCAAGCACTCTTGGCACTGCTCAGTCAGCCCAGCCCAGCCTGCCAGCCAGTCATTATTGATCACAGATCACGGGCCATGGTCCATGGCATCAGGCATAGCATAGCTTCTCTGGCCTAGTTTACATGTCAACTGCTGCCTCAGCTGCGTTCTGCGTTCAGCCTCCAGCCTCCAGAGCTGATTGTGAAATGCGCCAACGTCGTTATTTTGCTATTGCGCATCTTCGTGAATACAGCTTATAGGTTATACGGTTGTACTACGTACTTAGCACTGTCGTAAATGTCGTAATCGGTCGTAATTCTGTCATGAGTCAACATTGGGCGACATGCCAAAAATAATATGGGTTCTTTTATTGATTCTACAAGTTTGTTTCATTGAAAATACGGTTGGTTCGTTAGGTGATAGGTCGCAGGTATACAAGCAATGTCTAACACTGTGTCGCAATAACAACTGCAGAGACGGTAATGATCGAGCTGCGATTTTTTTCATATTTTTTTTTTAATTCTTTAATATTTTCTTCAAATAACATTTTCGACCATAGTGAATTTGAATCCGAAATTGGTTAACTCTAGTTAACCCGAAAGGTACATGTTGCTCTTTTTAGTTGAACTTTTGCACCAGTTCATCTTTCTTCCTTTTCTCTTCAGAGGGAAAGAAGAAGAAGAAAAATGAACTAGTGCAAAAAGTATCTCTTAGGCCGTGGTCCGATTCATGTTGACACAGTGACAACTAATGAGCACCATTTGTCTTCGTTTAACATTTGACAAATAACAAGAATGAAGTGACTTTTAAATGTCGTGAATCGAACCGCCACCTTGGTATAGTGTCGTTAATTGATTTCGAATCTCGAATCATTTCGAATCCACTACGATTGAAAAAGCATTGCAAAACTAGAATATATAATATTCAATTATTGTATATATATATATA